AGCAAAGCAGAAATTCCCTGGATTGTCACCCTGACCTCAAAACCCCAAACTCCACCAAACTCCTCTGGATGACTCTGGCAGTGTGCACCCTGCTCTGGCATAGCCTGCCAGGCTCCAGGTGACTCACTCTGCTACAAGATATTCCAGGAAAGTACACCAAAAAAATAGGTAGACACTTGTTCCAGTGTCAGCCACAGAACACACAGAACACACAGAACACAGATCCACTGCTGCTGTTCAGAAAAAGTTCCTTTGCAAAAAAATTTGGTTGTGAGCTCCATATTTCTGAGGGTAAACACATGGTGCCAAGGGACTGTCAGCCACTGGACTCCTGTCCTGCCTCAGGCTTGGAGACAGAGTGGTTGCCATAACGGTTGACATGAAGGGAACAGCCACTCTCCCAGGAAGGGGGAACATACTCGCCTTCACACTCTTAAAAATCTAGCATGTGGTCCCTAAACGTTTGTCTCAGAAGGACATTTCAAGTGATTTCCTGAGTGGTGCCTCCCTCTGGGGACAAACACGCAAAATATTAATTGATGGGATGATAAGAGGTGTCATGACTTAGCAGCAGGTAGAGCTGTCAGCAGGTGTAGACAAGAAAGTCAGGACTGAGTATGGCTTCTGTGGAAACTATAAATCTGAGTGTGCAGATAACTCCTTGTGTAGTAAATACCTGACTGATGAAATAATGGCTTTGACAGAAGAGGAGGAGGGAGGGGTGGCACGTATGTGCAGGGATGGATGAAAGTCTTGATGCAGAACACAATAATGACGCAAAAACTTATAACCAGCAGTCACAAAGGCTCCCAGGGCCTTCTCCTGCCCTCACCCAGCTGCCTGGGCAGTTGGCTTATTATTTAAGAATCTAATTGGCCCCACTTGGAGCTCTTCCATAGGATTATTGAACTTCATTCTAATCTAGGTTCGATGATATCTTACATAGCCTTAACACCCAAGGTCCCTTTGACTCAGAGGTGAGATAAGGCTGTCACAGGATGATGGCTTTATGGTTGAGGTGCTGTTATTAAGATTAGTACTGTGATAATTAATTGATTTCTTTTTCTAACTTTGTCAGAGGTTCTTGCTGATCTTAGACAGGAGCCTTAGAATTTCCTTTGTCAGTCTGGGAGAAAACATTTTGATCTAGTTGGTCAGAAACAGAATTGTGACCTTGGGATGTGGAAGAAGCTTCAGAGGGACCCTGTTGAGGGCGACAACACCTCCCAGGCAAACGTGAAAATTCTTTACAGGGGAACTAAGAGGAGAAGAATAGGAGTAGTTGCCTCCAATGTAAGTCCTGCATGGAGATGGAGAGCTCATGGAGGTGAAAAGATTTGGCCCAGGCTATGGAGAATTTAGCCCTTTGGTTGCATTTAGGACCAGACAGAGGCTTGCACCGACATCTGAACTTACAGCAGATATTTGGCTGCTCCACACAGGGCCCCCAAGCCAACACTAAACCTGAGGCTGCCCCAGCACATGGGAATGCTGAAGGATCACCACAAGGATCCCGGAGTCCAAACCACTGTCCTCACCCTCTGCGGGAAACCGGTGGGCAGGTGACCTCCAATGCTGCTATTTATTTTGGGGGAGTTCATCCACCAAGACATGGAGATTCATCAGCCTGAGGTCCTGCCAAACCTCTCCTCACTGAGTTAGTTCTGAGAGGTGTTTCATAACTTGCAAACAAGGAAAATACCTGTTGAATTTGACTGCTGTGAGTGAATTTTCAAGTCAAAAAAGCACCTATCTCCTTATCCAGTGATGCCACAACAACCCTGATCATTGACTGAACAGGCAAACTTTTTTTTGGTTGAGTTAATGCAAAATGGAAGGGTTCTGTGCGAGGTCACCTGTGGCTATGACATAATCCCCACAGCACCGCTATTCTGTGCCTGAAGGAACATGGATGGCCTCTGTGGTAACGAAGAACTGGATGCCCACACACATAAATGAAAGATAAATGAATTAGGACTACGTCCTAAGTGTGGTTTGTCTTTGGTTGGCAGTCAAAAGGGCCTGTCAGGTAGAGCTGAAGGCAAACAAAGAGAAATGGACCATGGCAAGTGCTTCCAAACATCTTTGAAATGAAGATCTCAGAAGACTTGTAGCAGCTGGTGAAGTCCTTGTGATCCTGAAGCAAGAGCAGGCCCAGTCAGCACACTGGAGATAGCTGCCAGGCAGGAAATGCCAGCAGGGAAAACACAGATGGGAAATGTGATGTGGATCTGATTCAGAAGGGAAGCGGGAAAGAGAAGGGGAGGCAACTGGAGGCAAAATGCTGACAGTCATGGCAGGGAGGAGCAGAAGAGCTGAAGGAACCAGTTCCCCTGCCCCAGCAAAAAGCCACTTGTTGCCCAAAGGCTGGCAAGGAACCTTCTTCCTCCCCTTCTTGTTGCAGGGCAGGAGCAGAGGCTGCAGACACAGGACTGTGTTGGCATCACTGCACCTTGAGAAGAGCCAGAAGGGAGAAGACAGAACCACAGCACTTCAAACCTGTCCCCCTGCCCTGTCAAGTGATACCCTGGGAACACCAGCAGCCCAGGCTGGTTCTCCAGAGCATCCCCTGGCATGCACAGAAGCCATTTTCACAGCAAGACAGATCATGTGGTGGTTGAAACACATATTTTTGGGGGCTGCCCAACACACCTGCCATCAGCCTGGTCTGAGTGATGCCCACAGAGGAAATCCTGGCTGCATGCAAGGAACCAGCATGGCTTTGGCAATGCAACCTGAAACTGGGCTCCAGGAAATGTAGGGAGTTCAAATGGAGAGAAATTGTCCAGAGCAAATACTGAGTGTGTGAGAAATCTCCCTTGAGAAAGGAGGAAAAAGGCTGCATGGGTATGACCAGCTTCCCATGCATCCCCAGCCATGATTAATTCTAGGGAAGTCTGCTTATTCAGGGTTTTAGCTGTAGATCAGCAATATTGTGGAAGAGAGTCTGTGAAGAAAGCAGGATTTTAGTGCTGCAGAAGATGATTCCTGTGACAGCTCCCAGTGGAGACCTTGACACCCTGCAATGCACTTGGGAAGCAAAACCGACACAAGAACCCGAAGGACTTGGCTCATAGCAGGAGCCTCGAGTTCCCAGTGGAGCTCCCAGTCCATACCTCCAGATTTAGGGAGCCCAACAGCCCACAGGGTCCAGCTGTGTGGTGCTGTGTGCAGGATTTCATGGTGAATCCCACACAGATAATTAGTGTGGCAAGTCAAGTCTGGAGGCAAACACATTCTGAAAAGGAGAGGCACAAGCTGATGCCTTGAGAAAACAACCATATCCAAGAAAAGATGGCTATTCCATGAAAGACAAATACTGCTGCTTCAATGGATGTGGCGAGAATTGCATTGTTGTGTAAACACTGAGTAAGGTGTTTTGTCACAGCTTCCCTCACACACACACACACACACACAACAGTGTTTTGTCACAGCTTCCCTCACACACACACACACACACACACACACACACACACACACACACGCACACGTCCCCTGCCCTCAGAGTAACCACAGGAGCGGCTCACAGGCACTGATTTGATGCTGACTCTGACCCTGATAAGTCTTCCAGGGAATTACGCTAAAAGGGGGGAAAAAAAAGCATCAGTCCTCATGTGACTGGGAGGTGAAATATTGTTACAGGGAAATTAAATTCATAGATACACCCATTCATGCAAGGAAGAGGAAGAAATAATAGTAGAAACAGAGGCTATTTTTAGCTGGTTCTGGCAACTTTGCATGAAAAATCCTGTATATTTTCTATTTTTTCAAACTTGGAAAGCTTTCAGCTGCAGAATGTTCTTAGAATGCTCTTCTCTCTGATGACCAGTGACAGGACCTGAGGGAAAGGCAGGAGCTCTGTCAGGGGAGGTTTAGGTTTGGATATTGGGAAAAGGTTCTTCCCCCAGAGGGTGGTTGGGCACTGAACAGGCTCCCCAGAGCAGTGGTCATGGCACCAAGGCTGACAGAGCTCATAAAGTGTTTGGACAACACTCTCAGGCACAGAGTGGGATTGTTGGGGTGTCCTGTGCAGGGACAGGAGCTGGACTTGTTGAACCCTGTGGGTCCCTTCCAACTCAGGATATTCCATGATTCTATGACACTGGAGGGGATAATCTTTTTGAGATCTTTACCAACTCCTTTTGAGTGGAAAACCTCTCATTCCCCAAAACCAGGACCCCTGAAAATTGCACTTTTTTCCCCAATAAGCCATTTTTGCAGCTGAGATAACCACATTCCTATGATGCCATGTCCAGGCAAGCCCACAGATCAGCATTTTATTGGATTTTAGTCAAAGTGCAGGGCACGGTGTTGCCACCAGCATGGCCTGAAGCTCGGGCTGGGGGCTGGATCTGGATGTAGGGCTGGAGCAGGGGCCAGGGCCTGGAGCCAGGGCTGGAGCAGGGGCTGGAGCTGGAGCTGGGCTTGGAGCTGGGCATGGAGCTGGGTCTGGAGCTGGAGCAGGGGCTGGGGCTGGAGTTGGAGCTGGAGGTGGGAATGACCCTGGAGCTGGGGCTGGAGGTGGAGGAACTGGGGTTGGAGCCGGGAGCTGGGTCTGCAGGCAGGGCTGGAGCTGGAACTCAGGGTTGGAGCCAGGGCCTAGGGCAGGGGCTGGAGCTGAGGGCAGGGCCTGGACCTGGAGCTGGAGCAGGGGCTGGGGCTAGGTCTGGAGCTGGGAATGGCCCTGGGAGCTTGGGCTGAGCTGGAGGAACGGGTTGGGGCCCATGGAAGCTGGGCTGGAGGCTGCAGGAGCTGGGGTTGGGGCTGGAGCTGGGGCTTACTGGAGCTCAGTGTTGGAGCCAGGGCCTTGGAGCAGGGGCTGGAGCTGATTGAGGCCTGAGCCGATGTTTGGGGCTGTGGGCTGGCCCTTGGAGCGGGGGTCGGTGCGCGGTCCGTGTCCGCCGTTCCCGTCCTGTTACCCGCTCGAGTGCCCGGGGAGGGCGGGCGCCGGGCCGGCAGAGGGGGCGGGGCCGGGGGCAGGGTCGGCCCCCCCGGCGGCGGGCCACTGGACCCGGTGCAGCGCTAGCCCGACCATGGCGGCGGACGGCGGGGCAGAACAATCGCCGTGGTTCGTGCACCGGCCGGGGACCTGCGGCTGGTACGGCGGGGGGCGGCGGAGCCGGCGGGACAGGGGGCCCCGGGGGCGCTCGGGGGGCCGCGGGGCGGGGGGGGGCCGGCGGCGGCTTCCCGCGGGTCTCGGGGCTGAGCCCCCGCACTCGGGGTGTCCGGCCACACTGGTCCCTCCCGTTCTCCCCCTCTGGGTCCCCCCGGTGCCGGGCTGCGAGCGGGGAAAGGCAGCGGCTTCCACACTCCTGGGGGTGGGGGTGACCCGGGGGGCGCAGGCGCCCAAATCCTGGGGTGCCCCGTGGTTGGGGAGTCCCCAGCCCCGCTCCCTGTATGGCAGCTTCGGGCTCCCCATAGCGGTGCAGGGAAAGGAAAACGCACCTGCCCTCGTGTGCCTTGAAGGTGAAACATTCTTGCCAGAGAAATAAATTCGTGGATACACCCATTCATGCAAGCAGGAGAGCGCAATACTGTTAGAAGCACGGTCTGCTTTCAGATGGTCCTGGCAACTTTGCGTGACAAATCCTGTACTTTTTCTGTTGTTTTTCCAAGCTTGGGAAGCTTTCAGTTGCAGAATGCTTTTAGGGGACACAAGCCATTCTCATAGCTGAGACAAGTGCTCCCAGGGAGCAGGGATGGAGGGTGGTTGTAGCTGCTTTGGGCTGTCAGAGCCCAGGTGAGCAGCAGAACAGAGGTCTCAGAGGGAGCAGGTGCTGCAGGACCCCCTTGCTCGGAGTGTGTGTGTGTAGGGGGGTTATTTTGTACTTTTAAAGTGCTTCAGGCTCATTCTGCTTCTGTCACTGTGAACACTTGGCTCTTCCTGGTTGCTGAATCATCACAGTGCTGCTTGGGGATCTGTGTTTGCCAGTTTGATGAGTGCCAAATGGGGGAAGGAAGATTTCCATGGGCAAACATTGGCAGGACACACAGTCCTGGCAGGAGGGCTCTTGGAAGCACACAGACTTTGGATACCCACAGTGCCTCATTTGGAGGATGGTTATCAGGGATTTTTCACCATTCCCACCCAGCCCAAGCTGCATGTGCCAGAGTCTGAGCGGTGTCTGTGGGGGTGGTTCCTGTGCAGCTCCCAGGCACCTTTGACACAACTGCACTTTCACTACAAGCACGTAGAGCCTGGGCCTGGAGCCTGACTACCAAAAGAAATAAAATGGGTTGAGGATTGAGGTGGTCCCTCTAATTCAAGAAACGTTTTCAAACTCCTGTGATTTGTGACACAGGTGAGGTGGACACTGACTCCATCACAGCTGTGTTGCTGGTCCCTAAACTGGATTACACCCACATGTGTGAGTTTTCCTTGGGATGTTTGACATTGGAGCTGGTCACCAGTGCCCCCCTGCCTCACTGGCAGCCCCTTGGTGTCATCCTCCTGGGCTTCCCTAAAGTTTCTTTGCCACAATGTGGATGGTGCTCACTGTATTGACCCACTGATCACCGAAGGAGTCTCAGCAATGAGCTCTGAACTTATCTGTTATTGATACCTAAAGCTGGGTGAGACTATTTTCCTGCAATTCCCATACTTTTCTTGATTCTTGGACATGTTTCCCATGGGAGAGTCACTGTGACCCCTGCACTATGTGAAAATGCATTGACTTTGTTTTTATTGACTCTCCTCTTACCCTTGGGTGGTTGCCACAGGCTCCTGTTTGGTGCCTGCTGAGGATTTATTGTTTTTTATACTTGTACCATGACCTGTCCTTCCCTGTCTCCTTTCACAGAAAACATTTACTGCATTTCCTTTACCAGTCACCATTTCTGAACTTCTCAGTGAACACCAATCAATAGCAGAACTCGTGTCTTTGGTGTTCTCTGTTTGGTCACTCCTATTTTCTACAAATCAGGCTGGAGGATTCATTTCTCACTAAGGTGTCTGGGTTTTTTTGGGTACAGCTGTAACTGAAAAAAAAAAAAAGTATTCTTTTTTTTACACACCCCCATCTTCAGCTGGAAGTTGGCTTTATCTCTTACTGTGGACTATTTTGTTCAGTCTGTGGTCTGTACCTCTGGTGTGTCACCGGATCGAGTGCTTATTGCATTTTCTGTGTAAGAGAAAGACCTCTTTTAAAAATAATGCTCAGGGCTGTTTTCCTCAGTGGGACAAAACAACCCTCCCACATATTAAAATTGCAGCTACAGGTCTGAACCCAGAACACAACAATCAGGCAAAAACTTATACGTTTGCACAAAGGCTCCCAGAGCCTTCTCCTGCCCTCACCCAGCTGCCTGGGCAGTTGGCTTATTATTTCAGAATCTAATTGGCCCCACTTGGAGCTCTTCCATAGGATTACTGAACTTCATCCTAATCTAGGTCCGATGATAGATAATTATCTTACACAGCCCTAACATTCAAGATCCCTTTGACTCAGAGGTGAGATAAGGCTGTCACAGGATGGTGGCTTTATGGTTGAGGTGCTGTCATTACAGTTAGTATTTTTTTTAATTGATTTGATTTAATTAATTTAATTTAATTAATTGATTTCTTTTTCTAACTTTGTCAGAGGTGCTTGTTGATCTTAGACAGTTTCTTTTGCCAGTCTGGGAGAAAACATTTTGATCTAGTTGGTCAGAAATAGAATTGTGACCTTGGGATGTGGAAGAAGCTTCAGAGGGATCCTGTTGAGGGTGACAAAACCTCCCAGGCAAACACAAAAATCCTTTACAGGGAAACTAAGGGGAGGAGAATAGGAGGTCTGAACATGGAAAATTTCAGTTGGTTGAATTGTATCAGAACAATTCAATGTGTTTTCAGAGTTTCTCTTTCTGTGATGTTTAGAATGGCGAAGTACAAAGTAGAAGTTGAGGAATATGCTGGGATTGAGAATGTATTTAATTAGTTAAAATGCAGAACAGTGCTCTTCAAAATTTGAGCAGCAGATGGATTCTGAAGGTTCATTGTTGGCACTACTTTGAGGGGGCTTTTCTTAGAGACGTGATTGTTGAGGTGGATGCTCAATGGGTATTGTAGTGTCTTGGTGTTGTAAAACCCAATAAGATGATTCCTTTCGGGTTTTGATGCAGCTGAGGGAGCTCAGTAAGGCAAAATGCTTGCAGACCTTTTGGGTGGAAGGGTGACTTGAGGCCAAGTGACCATTCTCTAGCTCTTCTAACTCTAACTTTGTTCATCCCATAAAGAGGTGCCACGGCAATTACAAGAGGACATGACCTGAAATGGGATTTACAGTAAAGTTTAAAGATGATTTATACATTGTTATGTATAAATCATTATGCAATTATTATGTACACATTATTATACATAAATATTATGTATAAATTATGTATCACTGGAACAGGGTGGGGAGGCCCTGGCCCAGGTTGCCCAGAGAAGCTGTGGCTGCCCCATCCCTGAAAGTGTTGAAGGCCAGGTTGGACGGGGATTGGAGCAACCTGGTCTAGTGGAAGGTGTCCATGCCCATGGCAGGGGGTGGAACTTGATGATCTTTAAGATCCCTGATAACCCAAATCATTCTGTGATTCTCTGATTATGTACTAAAAATATTTCCTATTATTTATAATAATAACATAATCACCACAATATTAAGGCTTTACAGAAAGTGGTGGTTCAGGATCTTCCCGGTCACAGAAGGTGATTTTTTTTGTCAGCCTTCAGGGATGAAGGATTAAACTGAAACTTGAGGCTGCTCCTGGGCAGAGAAGTTTAGTATGTGGCTCTTGTTTGGGCAGGGAAGGGAAATGTACTGCAAAATAGTTTGGAGAGTGGATTTCCAAGCTGGCAGTTGCTCACTCAGAACGGATCCCATAATCCTCCCCTGAGCCTGGAAAACGAGCTGCACTTAAGAGGAAGCTCCTCATTGCACAGCAGGGTCTTACTGAGCAGACAGGACCAAACCCCTCATCTGCTTCTGGATTTATGTGAGCTAACCTGGACTGGCCTTCCACAAGGTATTCCAAGGGCAATGTACACGCAGCTAAATGTTTTTTTTTCCCTTTCTCCATAGGAAACCCGTCCAGTCCCAGAACCAGGTCCCAATGGTAGGTCTACAGATGATGCTTCTGTCTGCTTTCTTTACTGATCTCTTGGTTTTCTCATTCTCTCTTGTTACTCCTTGATATTATAAATTTATATATGGATAAAATATTTCAGAGGAAGTATAAAATAATCCAAAAAAGACTGTGGCTGAAACAGATAATACTGCTTTTCCAGCTGAAAAGAGGAGCAGGAGCAGTCACAGATACATCCCTTTATCTGGCTTTTTCTGCTTCCTGTTCCATCAGTTCATGTATGTCACATTAAATGGCTCTTGGGACATGTCAGATGATCTTATTGCAGGACTAAACATTAATAGGGTGGGCATATGGGCTGATAAAAATTTGATTCACTAACTCTCCAGGGCTGAAACCACAGCTTAGGGAGAAGGAAAAATTAAATGGACTTGCTGTTTTATTCCTGCTCCAGCAATAGTCACGCCCCTCTTAAATTGTATTGTTTTGTGGACCGTATTTTTTGTTGACATTAGCTTTTGTCTCACCATATTTTCAGCCTTCCTGATTTGTGAGTACATGCATAGTTCGGTATTTCATGGTTCATGAATGTGTGAATGTGCCGTTCTGGTGTATTTATTTAACACCAGTAAATTTGGATGTGTCAATACTGGCTTGGCCTTTGCTGTGGGGCCCAGGGCCAGCCAACATGCTGCTCTCCCACTGCCTGAGAAGGTGAGTTTTCTACAAGGAGCTTTCCCTGCTGTTCTGGCAGAGGTCCTGCTGCGCATGCATTCCGTCGGGATCTGCGGGTCCGACGTCCACTACTGGCAGCACGGCCGGATCGGGGATTTTGTCGTCAAGGACCCCATGGTGTTGGGGCACGAAGCTGCTGGGACTGTCGTCAAAGTGGGCTCAGGGGTGACTCATCTGAAACCAGGTATTTGCAACCAAAACTGTTTGGTTTTCCTGCTAATCAGTTCCCAAAAAATGTGTCCATAGCAGGCTGGGCTTCTTTAGGTCACACAAATTTATCTGGGGTTCTGAGGTCACAGCGCGATGTTCTCCTTCACAAAGTGTCACTGTGCTGCTCTTAATCACCCCGCTTGGCCACTGTGGTGTATGATATTCCTTAGGTAGCTTTATCCTGGGATATCTCGAGCTTGCCTGGCTGTATTTTAATGCAGAGCAGAGCATATGCCAGTACAAGGTGCCTTTTAAGGAAGCTTGATAAAGCTTCAGAAACCACGTGCGTTGCTCTTGCCAGCAACCTGCTGTTAATGTTTCTTCTGTGTGTGTGTTCTTGAAGTAGCAAAAGGCCTCCTGCAGTGCAGAGAGGTCACTGGAGCAACTGCTCCAGGCCTTGTGATGTGACCTCCACTGCTCGCTGTGCTCCTGAATGTCCTAGAAAATGGGCTGAGCAGGGAATTTTGCAAAGTTTGCTGATGAGAGCAACTTAGGCGGGATGGAGAGGAGGCAGGATAGCTAGCAAGAGTTACAGGGAGACCTGAGAGGTGCCATTGAGATCCAGGTGAGATTCCATGCAGGTAAACATAAAGTGATGTCCACAACAGAAGAAACAAATCCAGCTTTGTAACTAAAATGCTCACTGCTGAGGGGTGAGACCTTTGGTTCTGCCACTGAGCGTGGGAGTATTGCCTCAGCAATGGTGAAAAATGCAAATCACTGTTAGGAAAGGTACAGAGACTCAGTCAGAGGACATCAGTGCCCATCTGGATTCTGTGTGCAGTTCCAGTCTCCTTCTTTCCAAAGGGATGTAAAAGAGGTGAGGACAGAGGAGGACAAGGAGATGACGGGACGTGGAGCAGCATCTCTGTGATGCATATCTAAGTCAGGAACTTTAGCTGGGAGCTGGAGAGACGACTCAAGGATGTGTGGCACATGTCTGAGGACTCATGGAGGGCAGGGAGAGGCCAGATAAAGCTTTCCTGTTCTCTGATTCCTCCAGTACAAGAGCAAGGGACAGTCAGAACCACATACAGCATCCACTGAGATGTAGCAGACCAGGTACACAGTGGAAAGAGGAGGAGAAATCGTTCAGTGCTACTAAATACAGACAAACCACATACAGCTTGGGAGGCTGGAAGAGCATTCAGAATGTGTGTGTCCTGCTCCTCTCACCCCCAGACACCCTCCCAGGCCATCTCAGAGGCGATGCTGTGGCCTAGATGGCTCTTTGCTTCTGTCCATCCTCCTGCTTGTCACCATGTCTGGCTGAAAGTCTTTGGTGGAGCTTCACTTAGAGATTTGGCTCCAATTGGCTTCCTTTTCCAAATAAATGGGCTGGTTTGTGTCCCTTGTGTACTAGCAAGTTGTACTGTGGTCACACTCTTTCCTCTAGTATGGAGAAAACATAATTGCCTCGTGATTGCAATTAGATAATCATGGAATCATAGACTGGCCTGGGTTAGAAGGGACCTTAAAGCTCATCTCATTCCACCCCTTTACCATGGGCAGGGACATTTTTCACTTGACCAGATTGCCCTGGTCCCTCATGCCTCTCTTGTTCCAGGGTTCCTGTGTTTTTTGGTGCTACTCATACCTGTGTGCCACCCTCTCCCTGACTGACACAGCCTTTCCCTGGCAGGTGACCGTGTGGCCATCGAGCCGGGCGTCCCGAGGGAAATGGATGAGTTCTGCAAAACTGGCCGCTACAACCTGTCCCCAACCATCTTCTTCTGTGCAACCCCCCCCGACGATGGGAACTTGTGCCGCTACTACAAGCACAGTGCCAGCTACTGCTACAAGTTAGTCCGTGCTTGCTCTGCAGGGAAATACACACTCCCTGGGGGAAGCAATCACCTCTTGGCCCTTCTGAGCACTCTTTACATGATCCCAACAGGTTTTGTTGCCTTCTGATCCATAAATAACATGTCTAAGCTTGGATGGCAGCCACTTTGCAAAGGATTTGTCAGGCAGGAGTAGTTTATCCCCTCCGGTGCCAGACATAAACATTTCTTGCATGTCTTCTGGGATGTCACTTCTGCTTTACCCTTTAATTATTTTCCTTTTCCCATTTGCTCTCTGCTCTTAGTTTGTTTTCTGCTGTCTTTTTATATCCTTGCCTTCTTAGGCTGGTGCCTGAAGGTTTTTATCTAGTTCTTTGAGCTGAGCTTTGCTGCTGCTTTTCAGGAAACACCATGGTGACTGCTGACACCTTGCTCTGTCATTTGAAACAAAGTCATCCCACTCGGAGCAGAGCAGGAACAGTAAGCAGTGGCCCTGCTGAGCTGTTTGTCTTATGTGACTCTGAGTGTCCCCACTAAGCTGCCAGCATTACACATCTGTTTTCATATCCAGTTCAGCAAACCTGAGTATGTTATTAGTTGTGGCAGGACTGACACATTTGCTTAGAAGCAAATTTGTGCTTAAACACTCTGGCAAATCATAGAATCCCAGAATGATTTGGGTTGAAAGGGATCTTAAAGCTCATCTTGTTCCATCCCCCTGCCATGGGCAGGCACACCTTCCACTTATTCAGGTTGCTCAGAGCCCCATCCAGCCTGGCCTTGAACACTTCCAGGGATGATGGGGCAGCCCTAGCTTCCCTGGGCAACCTGTGCCAGGGCCTCATACACTCTGGAAGCCTGAAAAAGCCTCTCCAATGTTATACCCACATAAGTGCCTTTAACAAGGAGTTAAAAACAGCCCAGTTAAAAATAATGCCCCCCTGAGACTGCTCTACCTGTCCAGCATGTTTTTTCGCAGTCTGTACAGAGCTGGTTCTTCCATGAGCAGGAAGGTCCTTGGGATTGATCCTTGGTGTCTGCACAGGGAGCATTCAGGACTGCAGCAGTCGGAAGGAGGCACTTGACTGCTCTTCTCCTGAGAGTCCTAAGGCAGGAAGCTTTCAAAGCAGATCCCAAGCAGCTGCTGTCAGGATGAGGTGCTGCTCCGGATGGGAATAACATCTCACTGTCCAGACCCACTGTCACTGATTTCCTGTGTATTAAAATAACATTTTCTGACAACGTCACAAGTTTTTGCGTGGGAGGACATGGCTGGTTTGTAGCCAGCTTCTTTCAGGGTTTTGCTTTTTTTTCCTCCAATTTGAGTAAATATAACTTTGGCTATCTTGTTTTATTTTTGAGCTTTGAAATGCAAATCCTGGACTTGGTGCTCCTGGTTTCAGATCTGCAGAGCTGTGGCTGGCTGATGCCGAGCAGATTCCCTGGCATGAAGCTGCTCTGCCAGCACAGGGAAGTGTGGTTTGCTGGGAACAGCTGATGGCTGAGCTCAGTGGGCTCTCGCACATTTGGCCAGTTATTGTCTGTCCTGCTGGTGAGCAGACTCTCTGTTGGATGCTCCAAGTAACTTGATGGAGGTGGGATCACACTGTGAACCTGCCCTCCCCATTGACAGGGCAGTGCCCAGATCCAGCAGGAGCAAACGTGATGCCAAACTCTGTGACAGATGAACTCTTGCAGTCAGACCTTTAAAGCCTCCTGGAGATAAGGGACATGCAGATATCTTACAGCTGTCTTCCCACAACCATAATTTCCACTTCTTTGGCTTTGTGTTGTCCTGGCTGAGATCTGACCTTGAGCTTCCCAGGGCTGTCAGAAAAACCCTCCTGGCAGGTACAGCTCTCAGCACCCTCTATGAGGGAGCCCATGCTGGTGGCTCCCTGGTGGGCAGCATTGTGGGGATGAGATTTATTCTGTCAGCAGTTCAGAAGGGTTTCACCCCCCTCTGCTTTTTTCCATCGCTCACACTGGCTGCGTGACGGGGCTGTTTCTGTCTAAAGACTGCTGCGAGGGTGTGTGCTGGGACCAGTCCCTGGTTTAAAACACTTAGTGCATCAGGGGAGCAGGTCCCAGGTGTTATGGGGAGACCTGGACCTGGCTGCCTTTTCTGGTGGCATCACCTTTGGCAACCAGATGTTTTCTAAAAATGTGGAGCTGAGTGATCCAACCCAGGTGAGAGGTCTGGGATCTCACTGGTGGGTCCCAGCCACAGGACAGCCCTTGGGGTGGTGCATGTGCAACTGGGGCGTTTATTCCAGAGGGAATGAGTGGCAAAGGAGTCCTTGGGTTCACTCATCAAGTACTGGAGAGTTGATGTGGGAAAGTTTGTGGGTCCCTGTGTTTGGTGCTTGGGCAAACCTCACTGGTTTAGGTGCACTTGATGCTGCTTTAGAGGAAAAAAACAGGCAATAGAACTTCTTGAAACACATTCCAGCCTGGTGTTTCTCTCACCAAGGGTGAGGGTGGGTTTTGCCACTGTGATTTACACCCATGTTTGGTCTTCGAGTGTCAGGGCTTTCCTTATCACCCTCATAAACCTCTTTGGTGACTGTTGCTTGTGTCCCATTCTTGCAGGCTTCCAGATAACGTCACCTTTGAAGAAGGAGCCCTTATCGAGCCCCTGTCAGTGGGAATCCATGCCTGTAAAAGAGCAGGAGTCACTCTGGGAAGCAAAGTCTTCGTGTCTGGCTCTGGTATGGTGAACACATTCAGTCCTTTGGTTCCCTGTCTGCTGGGAGGGGATGGGCAGGGCTCAGGTTGAGCTCCTGGGCTCTGCTGTCAGTGGGGGTCATGGCACAGCTCCAGGGGTGCCAAGGGGGACCTTGGGGCTGCCAGAGCCTCCTTTAACCCAGGAACACGCAGGGCTCTGGGTTCAGTGTTCAGAGCCTGTGGCTGGTGCTGCCTGGCAGTGATACATGTTCTCTTTCACTCCCTTGTACCCAGGACCAATTGGCCTCGTTAATGTGATTGTTGCTAAGATGATGGGTGCAGCTGCTGTGGTGGTCACAGGTAAGTCCTTGTATCCCTTGTGTGCCTATTTCCCACGATACAACACTTTCACAGAATCACAAAATCATTAAGGTTGGAAAAGACCTCTTAGATCATCGAGCACAACCATTAACCCAGCACTGCCAAGCCCAACCGTGTCCATAAGTGCCACATCCACATGTTTTCTGAACACTTCCAGGGACGGTGATGCCACCACTTCCCTGGGCAGCCTGTTTCAATGCCTGGCCACCCTTCCAGGGAAGACATTTTTCCCTAATATACAACCTAAACCTCCCCTGGCACAACTTGAGGCCCTTTCCTCTTGTCCTGTCCCTTGTTCCCTGGGAGCAGAGCCTGACCCCCACCTGGCTTCACCCTTCTGTCAGGGAGTTGTAGAGAATGAGAAAGTCCCTCCTGAGCCTCTTTTTCTCCAGGTTGAGCCTCCCAGCTGCCTCAGCTGCTCCTAGTGCTCCAGACTCTTCCCTGGCTCTGTTCCCTTCTCTGGATATGCTCCAGCACTTTGACTAATTCCAAATTATTCCTTCAAGTTTACTGCTGGGGAAGGCAGCACAGACAAATCTGTTTGTGACTGGAGTAGTAGCATGTGCCTGTCTGGAGGGAATCCTGTTGTTCCCCGGGACAAGACTTAGATCTCTGCCCTAACTGGGATATCCAAGAAGATGCAGTTTGCAACTCCTCTGCTGGGTTAGAGGACCAGGGTCATAACTCCTGATTCCCAGCATGGACAAGTTGTGTGGGTGGAGTAGCCTCAAGGAGAACAATCCAGAATAAAGAAGCAATCAATGGTCCGTGGATCAGGCCTAGAAACCTTCTTCAGACTTTGAGCAGGTATTTCGGAAGAGTCAATGCATCTGTATGTCAGCTCTGAGTTTTTTCTGTGTGCAGCCACACTGTGCTTCTCACTTGTCTTTCTCTGCCCTTCTTTCTGCTCCTGTTGGGGGTTTCATTTTCCACTGGTTATCCACATAGACTGAAATGGCCTTTTCAGAGTCCCTGCATTTCAGAAATGGGCCTTCCTTGTGCAGCTGAGGTTTCTGGTCCAGCTGCTGCTTACAGCAATATCTTTGCCTAGCTGCATCTGGAAAACCTCTGAGGAAGGAGATCCCACCTTTCAAGGTAACTACTCAAAGTTTGCACCACCTCTTAACGAAGAAGCTTTTTCTGGGGTCCACTCACAAACTGTCATTTGTGGGGATTTACCCTTGTCTGCAAGAGCTGAAATGAGTTTTCATCACCTTTGTAGCTGCTCTTCAGGTTGTTGCAGAGCTGTTCCATCTCCCCTTTTTATCCCATGCTAAGCCAGCCCAGCTGCCTCCACCTCTCCTCCAGGGTTCAGTCTCTCTCTCTGTAGCTTGCCCAAAAGAAGGGAGAGCTGGAGAAACCTCAGGATGTTCACTGGTTGAAATCTCCACCTGGGGTTTGAGCAGGGCCTGGAAGTGGTGTCTCCAGCTCTCACTGAGACTCTCTGATCTTTCTGAGTGGTGATGGCCAGGAGGAGCAGTTACAGGTGCCACTGGACAATGAGCAAGGGTTGCTGCAGTGCTTTTGGGTCAAAGCCCCAACCTGGACCTGTCAGAAGGCTGCTACTCACCTCCCATTCTTAGGGCCAGGTGTATAATTGACCTCTCGACTACTGTGTTTCCATCTTTGGGTTGAGAGATAAAATTCAGGTCCCACCCTCTTGCCTTTGCAGAAACATCCTTCAGTAGTAGCTCAGGTCAAAAACCAAGGCAGATTATTGCCTTCTCCTCCCTTAATCCTCTTGCTGCCAAGTCCAGGGCATTTTTAGTTCTGCTGGCCTCACCCTTGAAGGTGTGTGTGCTTGATGGACGGGATCAGTCCACACCTCAGATTTTGAGAAGTGTTGTCATTAGTGGACGGTGTTTGCTGTAGCAGGAAAAACAGCTCTGCTCCTGAATCACACACGAGGAACTTTGCTGCCCAGCTGGGCTGGTGCAGGGGCTGGGGGTGACCCCGTTCCTGGGTGGGGAAGGGCTTGGTGAGCTGGCAGGGGTTGGTGGGGCTGAGGCAGCTGGCTCAGCCTGTCACCCCATTCCCACTCCTGCCTGAGTATATCTTCCCTGTAACTGAGAGCTGCTGCTGCCTCTGCCCATAGGCTGCTGCTGGGGGCCCTGGGTGAGCTGCTCTGTGTGTCATGTGCCACAGGACTCCAAGTGGCCACAGGAAGTTCCTGGTGCCTGGTTTGTAGGGTCAGTAGGCTTGGATACATGGAATTACCCCTTATCTCTGTGTGCTGGCCTAGATATTGATTGTGACTCGTAGACATCTCCCACACAAGAGGGGTTTGGCTGAGATGTTGAGAGACACCCATGGAGGTGCTGTCCCTAGTCAATTATTTGTGTGTGACATGAGCTGAGGAGTGGGTTTGGTTTGGCTCGTTGCCCCTTGGGATTTTGCTGCCCTTCTCAGAGAATTGCTTTTTGTGTCAGCTTTAGGAGCCAACACCTGTGAGATGCCTGTCTGCCCACAAAGGACCTCTTGTACTTTGCAATCAGATTCTTTGAATTCATTACCCGGAATTTTTATGATGTGTTTGTCTGTGAAGAGCTTTGTCTGTGCAGCACTTAAGGCTTTAAATGTTTGTGTTTGTTTTGACAAGCTGCTCACAAATACAGAAATATTTAGAAGTATTTAGAAAAGCTTTTTCCTCGCCTGGGGAGAACTCATCTCCTACAGCTTCTGTCTGGCTCACCTGGAGTGATTGATGTATTTAGCAGGCTCCAGCTGGGTGGGAAGATCAATTTGTTTCCTGGGTCCTCATCTACTCTTCGCAAAGGTCTATGTCTTTCTCCGCTCCACTGCTGAGTGGACGTGATTGATATTTATGTACAACCTTCTCCTGTCCTTCTGCCTTGCTGCTGCTCTGAAAAGCTGCTTTTCTCCTTAGAAACACACAGAAGTTCAGCCTTACTCCCCATCAAGTGAAGAGACAGTTTAGGTGTTTGTATGGCAGTGTTGGGCTCTCTTGCCTTGCTCTGTCTGTCACTAAAGTTGCTTTTAGTAATTCCTGTGTAAGGGAAATTATTCCTCTTGTGCTGTCTGAATCCTAAGTTCTGGGTGTCAGTGCCTCCAGAAACCCTGGAAGTCAAGGTCAGGGAGGATGAATAACTGTCCAGAGCTCAGCTCCTTTGAGAAAGAAGATCAACACAGAAAGTGTGAGAGCTTCAAGAATATTTACCTGTCAATTTGGCTCATAAACCATTATGAGAAGCTTAAAGGTAATTTGATAACTTATTTGGAAGCAGAGACACAGGACTACTCTTGTTCTGGCAGCCAAAACTTTAATTAGCTCCAGTGGCCAGGAAGTGAAAACAGATTTCTCACTAGAGGCAAGATGCAACCCTGTAATTGTATAATGGACCATTTTTGCAAGGCTTGTGTGGGGTTTGGCCTCAGTAAGGTTTGAAATTCAAATGACTTGGTCCCTCCCAAGACTCACAAGTGTCTGGAGCTCCGAACAAACCAGTAACCTGCAGATCTGTCTGCTTCAGGAAGTGCTTCATGCTGATTCACTTAGGCCAGAGATATTATTGCAGCCCTGAGCAGGGCTGACGGTATTTGCTGCCATGTCCCATGTGCCTCTCTGAGCCAGGACTTCCTTCCTGAGCAGGTCAGCAAACCAGAGGCCAACTACAGCAACGGTGGAGGCGGGGGGGCTTTTTTTGTTGCCCGAGAGTGACTTTTTTGGCCACTTTGAAACACACTGGCTGTCCTGTCACTCCAGGAGAAAGTCTCTGGATTATTTCTGCCAGAGAGACAGTTTAAAATACCTTAGTCACTGGGCAGATACTAAAAATGGCTGAGTCCAGCTGTGTCTGCTGTGAGCTGGTGTGAGACCAAACTTCACGAGGAGTTGGGTCCATTGCTGGGAGCCCTGTTGAGCCTTGTGGTCTCCTTGGTATACACAGATTTGGGATACAACAACCATGCTGGGCAGAAGTGTTTCTTATTACTTCAGGTGCCTCCAAAAGTCCCTGCCCGTGCTCTTGGAGCACAGGAGGTCTCTGAGTGCAGCTCAGCTGGGGTCAAGCATGACCATACACATGGCCTGGAGCCCAGTGCCCAGAGCGTGGGAGGGACAGACCTGACTAATCCTCCTGCAGCCACAGGAATGAGAGCCCACATTGAGGCTTCCTGGGTGATGCTGCCCTTACTTTTCAGCCTTAGCTTTTCCTCTTTCATCTACATTTCATTACCCTTTGTTATCCCTTCTTGAAACTCCCTCCACAGCTCTTCTGGGTGCTCATCTCAGTGGGTGTGGCCACACCTGGCATCCCAAGCCCTCCCACTGCCCGTAGGGTCTTGTCCATCACCTGCCCTGCCAGTGAGTCCCATCCTGTTCCCTGTGTGATGGGCAGGCAGAGCCTCTGGTCCAGCTCCCTCCCAGCACGTGGCTGAGTCAGAGGGGCTCATGTCAGAGTACTGGCCTCAACCTCCTTTCCTTTTCCCTTGATATTTTCACCCCATCCCATCTCTGACTTCTCTGAAGACTGTGCCCTGGTGAGAGGGGTGTCTTGCACCTTGCTGTGTGTCCTGGAGAGGAGTGTGCCTGTGGCAAAGGCATCATTTTCTGAGTCTTCAAGCTCAGGACCCCTGGGAGGAGACACTGTTCACCCCTCAGTTTTGGGTCTAGGAAATCTTGGCTGTTACAGCTCTTGATTCAGCCATCTTTTCCAGTGCCAGCCTGCAGACCCCTGTAGAATACTGCTTTAGTGCAGGGCAGAAAGGTTGTTGACCTGGGAAATGCCACTCTTCTCCTTGGCTCTTCACCTCCTTATCTCCAGAGATGTCCTAGTCACCACTGGTGCCTGCAGAGGGGTGGGTGGCTTCTTTCCAGGGGATGTGGAAGAGCAGAGACAGTGTGGCTACCTGACAGGGCAGCTTGCTCCATGGTACAAACCATCCTGTGGATCTTCAGAAGGTATTTACAGTGCTGTCAAGAACCCTAGAGACAGAGTACTGGAATTGAGCCACGCCCTCACAGATGTTTATCATCACCAGCTTTGTTGCTCTGTCTTAATGGGGTGTCTGAAGTCCACCCTATTACCAGATCCACTCCCTTTTTATTTTATGGGCTTGTCTGTTCGTTCACCTCTGACAGAAACTGCCTGAGAGACACTCAGCAGTCTCCAGTGCTGTTACCAGGAGGGTAAAGGAGTGGGAGATGTCTGTGGCAGCAGGGACATGTACTGTTGACAACTGATGCTTTCTGCAGTTCACTCAGCCAAAAGCACCAGCTGAGAGTTCACTGAGGAAGCCTTCAGAGACCTCATGGTCTGCTCTCATCTGGTGCCACATTAATGATCCTCTGAGCCCGAAGTCTCCTGTGAAAAGGCTTCTTGGTGCTATGCTGTCCATACCCAGGTGATTTCTGGGCCATCAAGGAGCAAGGTCAGAGCAAGGTTCATGCCCCTTGGGAAGTGTCCTTGAGGGTGGGAGTAAATAATGTGAGGAGCCAGGGAAGGAAAATGCAAGAGTGGTGGTTTTTTGCCTCATTGTGGACTCTTCCCTGTGCTAAAGGGGCTCCAAGAGAGCTGGAGAGGGACTTCGAACCAGGATCCAGAGTGACAGGACAAGGGGCAATGGTTTCCCATTGCCAGAGGGAGGGTTAGATGAGATATTGGGAAAGAATTCTTCCCTGTGAGGGTGGGGAGGCCCTGTGGCACAAGTTGTCCAGAGAAGCTGTGGCTGCCCCATCCCTGGAAGTGTTGAAGGCCAGGTTGGATCGGGCTTGGAGCAACCTGATCTAGTGGAAGGTGTCTCTGCCCATGGCACAGGAGGGAACTGGATTTGCTTTAAAGTCCCTTCCAACCCAAACTAGTCTGTGATTTCATGATCCTCTGCCTGCCCAGGAGGAGTGAACACAGACCCTTCCCTCTCTTGGTTATGCTGCCCTGTGCACACATGTAGGAAGCAGTTTCCAGACTCAGGTTGCTCCTCCCCTTCTGTTTCATACAGTGCTCCAGCTCTTGACTTGTTTTGCTTTTCCCCAGATTTATCTGCCTCTCGCCTGCAAAAGGCCAAGGAGGTGGGGGCAGATTTTACCATTCAAGTGAAGAACGAGACCCCTCAGGAGGTGGCCTCCAAAGTGGAAGGTGTGCTTGGCTGCATGCCCGACATCACCGTGGAGTGCACAGGGGTGCAGGCCTGCATCCAGGCTGGCATTTATGTGAGTACCACTTGTCCCCAATGCAGAGCAGGGATTGGTCTGGTTTTGTCTGGGATGCTGCAGTGAATGAGTTATTTCACTCTCACTGTGTTTAATTTCACTGGGCTTGGTGTGGGGAGAGAAGGTGCTCATTGGACAGCAAAAGAAGAGAGGCAATTAAAGAGTTAACGTTGGCATGGGGATAATTGATAATTAATTTGATGCTCAGGTGCTAAACCACTTCCCAAAGAGACCTCAATAAGACCCCAAAACCCAAGCATGGCTGTGCAGCAGTATCAGGCAGCTGGTACGAGCAGGACATCACCTTCTGTTAAGTTGAAGTTACATCCAAATAAGGAGAATAATCAAGAAAATTATTTCCAGAAGGTGAAGGAAGCAGTTAAGGAAGCGATGTTTTGCTGCCATGAACATATTAAGAGGAGGATGGGGTGAAGGTAGTGAGGAGTTTCACAGGGAAAAACAAAGAGGGGAATGGGACAAGTGGCAAAAAGAGAAATTGCAGTGAAGCACCAGGCTTAGTTTTAAATCTTTCCTATTGAAATCCCAAAGCACTCTTTGTAGTCCTAAATGCCAGCCATTTTTCAGAATGAGATTTAGATACCAGAATCCTCTGGAGATTTTCAAAAGATTGCATTTTTGGCCTTGAATACTGTGTGTTTCACTCTTACAGGCTCCTGACAGCATCCTGCCTCTCCCCTGGCTTCTCCATCATTCACTGCAGCCGCAAAGTGTGCCTTTATTTTTGACAGACCCTGCACGGGCTCCAGCAGCTGCATTCTGCAAAGTGTAACATGTTTGTGTTTTTGCTCTCCAGGCCACTCGTTCTGGTGGGACCTTGGTGCTGGTGGGGCTGGGGCCTGAGATGGTGACGGTGCCCATTGTGAATGCTGCTGTGCGGGAGGTGGATATCCGCGGGATATTCCGCTACTGCAACACGTGAGTTGTCAAGCTCCGTCTTAAAATGAGAAATGTCTTTAAGTAAGTAATTTGGGAATTAGATTAGGTGCTGCACCCCTTTGTATCCCTATTGCTCTAACTTGGCCCATTCCTAGTTGGACTCCATGATTGTGGTTGGACTTGATGATCTTTGGAGGTCTTTTCCAACCTCTATGATTCTAAGTGGAGCAGCAATGTAATCCAATTGAAGAGGCTGGAAGCTGAATGAGGCTTTTCCTTTCCTCTCCTGCACTGAGTCCATGAGTTTGAGCTCCACAGTGGTCAGTGTGCAAGTGAGGAGGTCAGGTGAGGGGAGAGCGGAGCATGGCAGTTTGGTTTTCATTTGATGCTTCCAAAGAAGTTGTTTCCTTGATTTTCACTTGCTTCCTACTTAGCCAACTGTCTGGGAAGCAGGGCCTGCCTCCTCAGTGCTCAACAGCCCAGCTCAGTTAACTTGTCCCATCTCCCATGCTGGATGCTTGAGATTCCCTCTCCAGAAGATCCTTTGCAGGCAAAAGTCCCCTTGGCTGCCTGGGCTGAGGAAATAGCTGCAGTGAATCAGGCTCCTCCCTGCTCTTTCCTTGGGCTCCAAAGCAGTGCTTGCTCTCATCCCCTGCTGTTTCCCTTGCAGGTGGCCCGTGGCCATCGCTCTGCTCGCATCCAAGCGGATCAACATCAAGCCCTTGGTTACGCACCGCTTCCCCCTGGAGAAGGCTCTAGAGGCGTTTGAGACCACCAAGAGGGGTGAGGGGGTCAAAGTCATGCTGAAGTGTGACCCCACTGACCAGAGTCCCTGAGCTGCTGCAGTGCCCAGCCCTCGCCCCACTGCACCGGCCTGCCTGGGACGTGCAGGATGAGGCTGCAGGAAGGAGGCTGATGTGGGGCTGTTGTGTGTTTGCAGTCACCTTGCACAGCTGCTTCTTGTAACTAGAAAATCAAATGGTGATGAGGGTGAGTGGCACTGAGATTCACCATTAGAGCACTAACAGGTAGTTACAAATGGACAACCAAGAATTCGAATCAAAATGTTGGGTTAGAAATGAGGGTTTTCACAGTTGGCTCTTCTCCAGCAGCCCCCCAGCAGAGCCTGGCCTGATGCCTCTGTGCTGGGGGAGGTGCTGGCACTCCACCTTCTCACCCTGCTGCTCTGGCTGCAGCCCTTCCTGCATGACAATCCCTGGATGTGAGATAGCCCTGTGTGAATATTCCCCCTTCCCATTGCACCTTCTCTCAGGGATGCTCAGGGATTGTACAGCCTGTGGAACAAAGCCTGGCCATCCCCCCTCCATAGGAAGCATCAGCACATTCAGGTCATTCTCTCCATGCTCTTTGCAAATATCCCAAAGCTCAGAGTCCAGGGTTTTTGTGAAGCTGGTCTGGAGGCCAGCTGGGACCACGTCTGCTGTGTCACCCCCCAGCAGCTCCTTGTGGGACCACTTCAGGCTGGGAAACTGGGACTGCTGAGGGCCTTGTCTTTATGTGGTTCCCAGGGAGGGGCTGCTGTTGGAGGATACAGCTGCTTTTAGCACAGAGGGAAGTGCAGGGGAGCCGTAAGGGGACAGCATCATTCAAAGGTTTTACCACTGTGAAAAAATCATAATTTTTTGGGAATATCGAACCTTCCTGCTGAGTTTGTGAGCCATGAACAAGGTACTAATGAGGTAGCAGGTTGCAGATAAAATCTAATCTTTGATTACAGTCATGCTAATTTTAGTACTGAGAGATCAGTTTCTTCCTTGGGCCGGTACTGAACTTTCCTCAATAAATTCTGCCTACCTGAGACCTACCTGGTGTGTCCCTTAAAGTGTGGGGTGACAGTGTTGGAAGAGTTTCTGACTTTGGGCCTTGGTGACTGTGCAGACCTGGGCCTTGCCAGGCTGCAGGTTGAGCTCGGTGTTGGCAAGACTGTGAGACCTCAAATGACACAACAACTTGCAAATCAAAGTTTATGTTTATTCCAGAGGTGGCCAAATTAATCCTGGCAGAAGTGGAAGCCCCCAACTCCATGCTGAGTTTTACAGGGATGCTACATAATCCAGGGGAACTTTCTGTAGCCAGAAGGAGAAGTGGCCAAAGTATGTGCTCAGCACATTCCAGTGCTGGGGGGATCCCCACTGGCATGGCTGGGGGACCATTGGCCATCCTGACTCCCATGCTGGAGGGAGCCCCATAGTCAGCCTGGGGGACAAGTGGCCATCACAACACTCTGTTATTACTGGGAAATGGAAGCTTGCTCCCTGTGCTCTATGGCAAACCTCCAGGGGACCAAGAACCAACTACAAGAGGCAAGAAAGTGTTTTAGTACTTTGAACAGCTTTATTTAAGCTCAACCACAGCCTGCAAGAGAGGCAGCGATGCAAAGCCAGGCATTACTTAAAAAAGCACAAGTGATCCCTGACTGAAGGGATGCTGCTGAAAGAAGCCAACGCAAACACAACTCAGGCCCTTTGCAAACCCAGAAAAGGCTCACAGAGTTAACAAGCAGGCACCCACAAGTGTATTAGGAAAGCTGAGCCTGTTTCAAGGAGAGAGATGGTGGGAAGCTCTTTGGCTCCTCACCCCATGTGTGCTCCACATTGGTCTTGGGGCAAAGTGCTTTGGATTCAGGTTGTGCAGGCACCAAGCTGTTCCCCAAAGCTGGGCAGAGACATTCCCTGAGTCCCACAGCAGAGCACAAGCTCTGTGTTGTGGGATTAATGTAGCAGAACTGGGCTTAACTCAAACACTGTGGTTTTTTGACTGGGACATGCCAGCCCAACCCTGGGCATGGGGCTGCAGCAGTGTGTGGATGGTATTAGTACGCCCTGGGCTCAGGGGTTCACACTGGGGCGGTGTGGGGTGATGATGGGATGGTAATGCTTTACTGGCACACCAGTCTCAGCTCTGCAGGTCTCAGTGTCCCTGCTCTCGGCCATGGATGGCTTTCTCTGGGGCATGATGGTGAGTGGGAGCCCAGGACCATGGCCACCCACTGCATTGCTGCCCAGGTGCTGGGATGGACCAGACTGCAGCCCAGGGTAAAAAGCATGGGGTAGGGTCAGAAATTCTCATAGTGATGTGCAAAGTAGGTCTGGTCCTTCTTGTTCATCTGCCGACAAGCCTGTTCCACACTCTTTGTCATCCCGGGTGGGCCACAGCTGAACACCCCAATCTTCTGCACCTGGGAAGGGGAAACCAAAGGGGTCAGACCGAGGAACACCAGCTCTCCCTGCAGTCCAGCCCCCCTTGGCCCCTTGCCCTCTGACAGCTTTGGGCATGGACCATGGCCGTGCTCTCTGTCCCAGCCTCTGGAGGCTTTTGGGGAGACTGTCATTTCTGTGAGGGCTGTTAAATCTGTGGTGGCTATGGAGGCTGTGAGGGCAGTGAAGGAAGGATGGGAGCCCCAAGACCTGGTTGCACCCAGGGTCCTGCAATAGCAGGGGGTGTTTGGCTAGCATGGGAAACTGCTGACTCTTGCAGCTCAACCTGGCTCCAGAGGGAAAGCAGGATCCATGTCCCTTCTGCCCTGTCCTTGGTGCAGATGCCACCAAGCTCTCCAGGACCTTGGGGACAAGCTGGGACCAGTCCTCCACTGGCCAGTGGGTGCACCTTCTCCTGTGCCCCATCCCCAGCCAGGCACTGACCTCAGGGTGCACCTCCTGCAGCGAGTTGAAGAAGGGTACAAAGGGAGGGCGCCCAAAGTGGGTGATGGAGCGCAGCCCCGTGAACAGGCTCTTGTTCAGCACCTTCTGGAAGTGCCGCTCGCAGATGTACTGGAAGAGAGATCGGTGCACGTCAGATGGCCCTGCACGGCCTGGCGTGGCCTGGCATGGCACAGCAGCCTCTCTGGTGGGGGGCAAGGCTCACCAGCATGGTGGTGCGCAGATCGAACTTCTCGGCCAGCTGCGTGATGTAGATGTGCACAGAGACCAAGTTGTTCCTGTCGGACTCTTCCACCTCCCGGATGATGTCTGTCAGCCACTCAAACTGCCGCTGCGTGCGTGTCACCCAGATGAAGTAGATCTGTGGCACATGAAGATGAGGCTCAGAGTGGGGCCAGCACCCTTATGCAAGTCTGTGGGCTCCCTGGAGGATTTTACCCCCAAAGAGGCCAGAAGCAGCAGGAGGCATCTTGGGAGGGCTTGTCTTTCAGATGCTTCCTCTTACCTTCTTACACAGCAGCTTGGAGTTTATGGATGACTTGAAGACCAGGTCCTTGAGGATGGATGCGAAGGGTGTCACCCCAATGCCTCCTCCCACCAGCACTGACACCTCAAATTTGTTCCACTCCTGGTGGCCCTCCCCGAAGGGCCCGTCCAGGTAGAGCTGGAAGGGAGTCAGCCATTAGCAGAACATCTCCCATCTCTGCTTGCCCAGGTCTTGGTTGTCCTCAGGGCTGGAGAAGCACCTCAGGCTTGGCACAACCCCTTGCTGAGATGCTCTGGGGCTCAGATGTCCCTGTGCGTGACATCCTGTGCAGGGCTCACCTTGGGCAGCTTGCCGATGAGGGCCAGGCTCTCTGGGGAGTAGAGCTCCCGCAGGCGGGTGGTCCAGGGCCCCACGGCACGGATGTGCAGGCTCAGCGTGTCCTCGTGTGGCGCCGAGGTGAGGGTGAAGGGGTGGTACTCCGTGGTGCCCAGGGCCACGCAGGCGATGCGCACCCACTGCCCGGACTTGTAGTCAAAGTCCTGCGGCCGCTGGAACTGGAGGTGGGTGACACCTATGGGGAGATGGGGATGGGGGCTCTGGTAAGGTGGAGATGTAGAGAGGTGGAGGCTCCTGCATTGCTGCAACCCCTGATGCTCTTGTAAAGAGCCTGGGCTGGTGCCCTGTGGCCAGGGATGTCGTGGTACCTGAGGGCAGGAGCTCGGCTTTCACCACGCTGATCTCCACCTTCTTCCTGCTCAGGCTGAGCAGCTTGTCCGCACTGTAGATGAGAGCCGGGACGATGAAGTAGATGTAGAAACGGGGCTGCTGGATCAGCGCATAGCTGCCATGGATGATGACCTGGGCAGGGAGCAGAACCCATTAACAGGGCAAGCTGTTGCCCCAGGGCTAATCTGGTGGCAGCTGAGCAGCAGCAGGAAGGCAGGAGTGGGGCCACCAGATCCCTTGCAACCATCCCATCTATTCCATCTCATCAGCTGCACTGACTGAAGCCACAGGCTTGCAGTGCATCGGCACCACCCCTCCCTCCCAGCCCAAATCCTTTACCAGGACATAGAGCAGCACATAGAGGTGGTGGGTGATCCAGAAGCCCTGGAAGCTGACGCGTCGAAAGTGGTAGGTGGCGAACACATACATCACAGCAAGGACCACAAGCAGCAACACTCCTGTCATACCTGTGAGAGGAAAGGTTGGAAGGTCCTAGGGGGAACAAAGCAGTCCCATAGGGGCTCTCCCTGGGCTGGGCAGAGAGCTGCCCATCCACACAAAGGTGTGCAGGTCTATCTGCTAGGTGCTCTCACCTGGAACAGTCTGGAAGAACCACCAGTAATACTTCTGTGGGAGCTGTGACCTGGAGGGGGACAAGAGATTGCACTATGGAGTGACCAGAATGAACTCTTGGTTTTCATTTTCATTCCTATCCGTGCCCAGGACACTCTGTCTGGACTCTGCTCTAAATCCCACCTACCCATCATTTGTGAAGACATTGGAGAAGAGGCAGGAGAGCACGCTGAGAGGTGTGACTGAGAAGATATAGACATTCACTACATGACCTGCAGTGTGGAGCACTGTGAGAGACAAAAATAGGGAGAAAGAAGCATCATTTGATGTGAATGGAGATGTGTCAGATCCTGCTGATGTCCCCAGGGACCCGGAGATTCCTCCTCGTCTCTAGTGCAGCCCATCTATGTCTCCACAAGGTCTTCAAGCTTCTGCCTGGTCCTGCCATGGTGTGATGGGGTGGCCCTTCTGCTTTAGCTGTGGTTTGTGGGCGGCACATCCCCCAGCAGCCCACCCACCTGAGAAAATCAGGGCTGCCATGGCAATCCAGCGGTGGAAATCGACGGCGGCATCGAAGGGGATGTAGTGGTTGAGGAAGGTCTCCCGCAGGACGGTGATGAGGTTGCGGCACATGGTAAGCAGGATGTAGGAGTACAGGAAGGAGATGGAGGCAGCTGCTCCCCGGGAGATGATGATCCCCACAAAGGTGGTCTGTGCGATTCCAGTGCTGGGGGATGCAAAGGCATAGTCTGGGGAGAGAGAGCAGAGGGAGTCAGTGTCCCCAGCCATGACCTTTCTTGCAACAAGGGGGTGACCACCTTTGTGGCTTCACCAAAAAGAGGTTCTCAGAGATAGGTTTGTGTGGGAAAAGGGGCATGACCCCCCAGAACTGCTGGGTGAAAGGATATCCTTGGAGATCCAGGGAGGGGATTGTCCTCCTCTGGTGGGCACTGGGATACTGCACCTTGGGAACTGTGGCCTCAGTTGGGGAATCCAATATAAGAGGTCTCCACAAACTGAAATAGAGTCCAGTGGAGGCCACTAGGATGGGTGAGGGCTGGAGGATGTCATGTAGGGGAAAGGCTGAGGGAAATGGGTTTGTTCATGTTGGAGGAGATGGGTCAGGGAAGACCTAGAGGCTGTCTGCAACCACTTCTTGGTGTACAGAGGTGGGAGAGCCAAGGTTGTTCTGAGAGATGCACAGTGGAAGGATGTGAGGCAACAGCACAAATTTCACAGGAAAAAGCTCAGGTTTGATGTAAAATAAAAACTCTTCACAGGGAGGATGGTCAAAAACTACCACAGGCCCAGTGAGGTGGTGAGATCACCAACCTTGGAGCTCTTTGCACCTTCTTTAGATAAGGCCTTCAGCAGCCTGATTCAGCTTTGGAAATGGCCTTGCCCTGAGCAGGGCATTGGACCAGACCGTTCCAGAGGTTCCTTCCAACCTCAGTGACCCTTTGGTTATTCCAGGGGAGGAGTGACACTGTCGCCCAGAGCTGTGCCATGCAACGCCCCACCACACCCAGCACAACCAGCAGCTTAGAGGCACCAAGTCCACGTGGGGGGCAGCGGGGCTGGGTGGGCACTCACAGTAGGCTCTCTCCACGAACACGCCGGCGGTGATGGCGGAGAAGAGGATGACGCAGACGATGTGGCGCCGGTAATTCTCAACGAAGCGCTTGAACTCCTGGATCTTCTGCTGAACTCGGCTCCGCTCGTACCTCTTCCGCTGCGCCTCAGTGTACAGGCGCAGCTGGTACTGGTTCCCCCTGGCAAAGACAGGAGGGCTGGTGTCACTGCGAGGTTTCCCCAGCTCAGGGCCCCGCTGCCCAGATTTGGGGCTGCCTCCCAAAGTGCTGTGGCCACCTCTGCACATCAGTGATGGGGTGACCTGCAGAGCGCAAGTCAGAGGATGATCTCAGGTCTCAGCCTTGCAAGCCTTAACGGTTGTAAAACCTGATAACAAATGTGTAAACAGTGACTCATAAATAAAACCATAGATAAGAACTGCCAGAGATAATTTTCATAGTAATAATCAACTGTCCAAATGATTCTGCATGGGACCAATTTCCTTAATTGGAGCAATTATGGCAAACCAAGATATTGTTGCCAACAGTAAAAACAACTGATCTGATTCCTTGCAGAAATACTTGCTGCTGCCACAGCAGCAAGGACCAGAGTCTCTCCTGCAGCTCTTGCAGAGAGCCCAGGTGACCCAGCAGCATCCCAAGGGATGAAGGAGCACAGGCAGGAACTGTCAGACAAGACCCCTCTCTAAAAACCACTATCCCAGGCTCTGGAGTTGGCCACTTCATTTTTTTATTTTTTTTTTTTGTAGAGGCACATCACCCAGACCCAGCTATGACACTGTCCCTGCCAAGTTGGGGCTGTTCCTGTAGCTCCTTGGCCAGTGGGAGCCTCCTTGCAGCAGTGCCATTTGACTGGAGGGCTGCCCAGTCTGACTAGGGCATGTGAGAAACAGCAAACAGGCTGAACCTGAGCCCCAGAAGCACAACTATAGAGGAGAGGCTGTACTCACTTTCTGCCTGGTCTCTTCCTCAGCTCTTGCCCTTCTCGTTCCACATAGTGACTCACAGTGTCCAGATTTGAGTCTCTCTCCTCCTCTGAGATGGTTCTGTTGGAAATAGAGCTATGTCTAGCCCAAAGCCCTATTTGCAGGAAAGGCTTGGCAAAATTATCCCCTTTCCCCTGCTTGCCATCTCAGGCTCAGCTGGAAAGGTGTCCAGCTCTTTCCCACAAATCTGTCTGTTAACTTTAACTGCACGTGGGCTGGATTTGCTTCAACATAACCCTTCCCTCTGAAAAGCAAGGCAGGACTCCCACCCCCATGTAGGGGATGCAACAGGGGCTCTGCAGGGGGCAGTTCCTCCCCTTTGGCTGTGCCCAGGGAGGAGGGCAGCAGCCCCACCCCAGTGCCTGGTGTGCACCTCCCACCAGGATCATCCCCCTTCCCCAGCACTGGAAGTGCCAACACCTGGTGGGAGCATTTGTTGGAAGGACTGGGGATATGCATTGGGGCAGAAAGAGAAGGAATAGCAGAAACAAGAACAAGGAGGGGGGCTTACCCTTTTGGCTCTTTCTTTATGAAGGAGACACAGTTGTGCAGGTTTTGCTTGAACACCTCAGGGACACCTTTGAGGAGCAAAAGGACAAGCAGCCATTCAGAGCATTCAAGATAAGGATTAGGACTCTCCCATGGGCAGGGAGAAGCTCTGAGCTGACCCAAACCTGTTGCACATGAAGCAACAGCTGGTACCCCATTACTGCAATTGGGTTGGAGGGATTGATGGGACAGGATTTGGGAGTTCCAATGGGTGCTGCCCATTTCCTCCCGCCCTGCAGGGCCTGGGGTGAGCCAGTGCTCGTGCCCACTGACCTTTCACACAGAGGTGGGTGAGACGAAGCTCGCTGTTGTGGTCCCGCAGCATGTAGTGGAAATTCTCCCACGTCAGCTCATCCCTGTCCTGAAACCCTGAGGCCCGAAACATGGACTCAGTCACCTGCTCTGCCTGTTCTCTTGACAGGCAATTGTTGGAGATCTCAATGAAGGACCTGGAGCAAGGAGGGGAGACGGGAACATCAGTTAATCAGTTCAAATAAAATGTCAGAGCCCCTGACAAGTTTTATGGGAGTGGTTGTGAATGTTGAGCCCATGAGCTTCTTAGGGACTGAATCACAGAAACTGGGACCTGCTTTTGAAGACATGTATGTCTATAGATATTGTGAAAACATATTGAGAGAGGAGAAGTACCTGACCATCCTCAGAAACTCCTCCTTGGAGAGGAACCCATTCTCATCGATGTCATACATCCTGAACATCACCTGGGACTTCTCCTCTGGGGACCCTAGTGGGGAGAGAGAGAGGTGAAGTAAGAAAAAGATCACATTTTCACTAACAAAGATGCTTTCAAACACTGTCTTTGAGCACATGGACCTGCAGCAGTGAAGCCTCACCCTTCTACTGACTTTCTCAAGTGCAAGGTGAAACACTGGGTAGATATACGTTCTTGGGCATTATTTTGCAAAGTCAAAATGTGCTTTTACACAGCAATGATTTTCTGGAAGATGTTTTGATTGAATCTGACACTTAATGCCTCCATCTATGAATCCAGCTTTCCGGTGGTCATTTAGGGAGATTCAGGTGTCAAATATAGTTGCTCTGATCTCTCAAGGACAGGATGTGTGGTCCCTTCAGGAGACAGGACAAATGTGTCTGCGGTGGTAGAAAGTAGCTCCCCTCATTAACAGTCTTCCAGAAAACACAATTACATGGTCACTGCCTCATAACTCAAGTTGAGCTTGTCCTAAGTGAAGGGAATTTTATTCTGTAGAAGTGTCTACAGACTGACCTGCTGGATGGACCTTGTCCTTCACTCTGTCAGAGCCTAGAGACGGGACTAAGGATAACAGATGGAGTCACTAACCAGCCCCAGCTCCCACCTTTCATGAAGACCACCAAGATGTCCAGGAACTCCCGGAAGGAGATGTAGCCGTTGCCATCTTTGTCAGCCAGGGAGAACATGGAGTCCACAAACATGGAGTGGGCCTTGAGCCCCAGGGCCTCGGCAAACTCAGTCCTGCTCAGCTCACACGTCAGAGACTCCCTTGCCTTCTGTGAAGATCTGAAGTTGAGCTCTCCTGCATCAGACCTGTCGATTTCCAGCACCTGCAGGTTGTGTCCCACAGAAGAAATCCTGTGAGTACTGGCTCTTGTTTCCTTCCTGATCTATTGCACAAAGACTGGTGGCTCCCCTGGCACAAAACTCATGACAAATACCATGGGGAAAGTCCCGTATCTCTCCTACACAATGTGACTTTCACACTGCATACCACTGACCACTCTGGAGACCTCAGTTACATCATCCAAAAGCCTCTTTGCAACTTTAGATGCTTATATCACTGCAGCAGATCTCCCTTTGTGTCCCTCAGTCCTGGAAGTGTTAGCAGCTTCCTTGTATCTGGCTTACCAGCTCTTATGGAGAGCAACAGCACCAGCATTCATTGTTTAATCAGTACAGAAACACCTTCTTCCAGGCATCAGAGCCTGCCACACCCCTACACACCTGAGCAAACAGGTGCCTGAAGAAAGTCTCCAGAATTTGTTTTCTCTGCTCCTGAGTGACTGCCCATTTCATAAGGTTCTGCTCCTTCGTCTCAGACAGATGCAGGTAGAGGCCACTCTCATTCAAGTAGTTTTGTAGCTTCCCAACAAAGCTGCTCCTCTCAGCCTCCTCACAGAAGAGCAGCACCTGCAAAGGACCCCACAGACTGTCTGCGATCATCAGAGGCTCAGCTCATGGTACGAGCTGGACCTGGTGGTTTTCAGGAGGCCACAACCATCCTTTAAGGACCTACACTCTTTCCAGTGCCCTGACCGAGTGGTGCAGAGGACTGTGGAGGGTCCAGAGAAAGGTGTCATACCCCAGGCATCATGGTACTCACCAGGTCGTACTCCTTGGGGCTCTTCAGGAGCAGAGCTTTGTTCCCTTTGTTGTTGGAGAGGATCACCTCCACCCTTTGGTAGGCTTTCAGGTTGATGCTCCGCATCACAGACCCTCTCCCATCCAGCACTTTGAGCACTTTGTCAGCTTGGAGCTGGATGTAGACAGGACAGCTGTCTGTCTTGGGGCCGTGCCACTCCATGGCTGATGGGAGAGAGCACAGGACTCAGCTGGCAAGGGGCACCCAGGCTCCTACTCATGCCAGCACCTCCTTCACCCAGATGCAGTTTGGGAGAGATTTCACGACCAGGCACATCTTAAAGCAATAATGATGATCTCCCAGCTGCACAGCTCAAGCACATGGCCACAGGAGGAGTACAAACTACAGAGCAGGGAGGCAGGATTTTTCCAGTACCCAGAGCAAGGAGATACAGTCCCTGTCCTGGGGCTACTGGTGCAATTGCTTTACATGGGTTTCCTTCAGGCAAGGTGTGATCTGGGGAGGGTTGGAACTAGAGGGTCATATGATGACTCAGGTTGGAGGGGACTCGGGTTGGAAGGGTTCCTTGCCCAACCTCCTGCCCAAAGTAGGACCAGCCACAGGTCAGTCTGCTCAAGGATTTATCTGGTCAGGTCTTGGATAGGATGGGCTATCAAGCCCTCTGGGCTCCCTGCTCCTAGGGAAACAGTTCCTCCTTACATCCCATCTGGATATAAGCCCCAGGCCCAGCCCTGCCTCATTGTGTGCCCTGACTCCAGCAACATCACCAGACACTGTCACAGGGTTGGCAGTGCCACCTCACCGTGTGTGGCCTCGCCGGTCACCTTTGTGCGCACCCTGGTGCTCTGCTGCTTCTGCAGCTTCTTGAAATCTCTCTTGCGGAAAGCAGCAACAATCCAGGCAACAAAGAGAGTCACTGGGGACACACAGGAGAAGGAGGTGTGAGATATCACAAAGCTCCTTCCCACTTTTGGCTCCCTCCTGGTGCCCAAGGACTCTGTCAGCTCAAGGACCTCGGGAGCGACCAGGACTCAGCAGCTCCTGCTGGGAGGTGCTTGGTCCATGGGCACTCAGCCCCTTTCTCTGGTGGAGAGGTGGAAGAGAATAAGGATAAGGAAACGGAGAGACAAACCCAAAGGCAGACAGCAGAGGACAACGATGATGATCCCAAAGCCTGCGCCGCTGCCTGCAAAGTAGTCCAGCACCACCATGGGAGTGCAGTTGGCCAAGTGTTGAGCTGTCAGCTGCTGGGGCTGGGGGCACGGGTCCCCTGCAAGGGGTAGACAGCCTGTGAGTGTCACCAACCTTTTACCCATCTCACCTCCATCACCCCCAGGAACCTTTGCCCTAAAGTGTGGATGGGGTTCATGGCTGAGTCACCCAGGGAGCACTTCAAAATTGGGATGCTTGAGTAAACTCCAGATAGTGGGTAGAGCCTTTGGTTTGGGGTTGAACCTTTGCCTGCTACAGCAAACCGAGTGCAGAACTGGACTCAAGAGCTCTGTGGGCTCAGCACCATCACTCCCCCAATGGGATGGTCTGAGCAAGAAGCACCCTGGACCATGGAAAATTTGGGCTCAGAGCTTCTGCTCATCCAGACACTGCAAATCCAGGGAGTTCTTCTGGTGCAATTACATAGAGTGCATACCAAGGAAACAAAAACACCTTACAAGGGCTGGAACGTGACCCAGATGAAATGCTTATGGTAAATGGGAGGGGTGTGGCAAGATTCCGAGAGGAAAAGGCATATTGCCAAACACAGTACCATGCCATGGTCTAGTAACCATGGTGATGCTGGATCAAGGGTTGGACTTGATGATCTCAGAGGTCTTTTCCAACCCACTTGATTCTATGATTCTATGCCTTTTCACCTTGGGGTCATGCCTGGACTTCAGTCCTCTTTCATATCTGCATCACTGCATCAATGTCTTGCTCGCAAGCAACCCTTGCATTTTGTACTCATTTTGTGGGCTTAGGATCACATCAGGCAACAACCCCAATGTGTTCCCGGTGTCACTGAGTCACCGGCTCTGTCACCAGGATGGCTCTGCTTCCCTCACTGCCTTGCTGGAGCCATTCCCTCCTGCACTCACCATTTCTCCAGGTGAACACGTGAGTCTGGATGTCTGTGGAGTTGGCGTAGGTGACGGCAGCCAGGACGTTGTGAAAGCTGGTGTTACGGATCTCCCTGATTTCCTCCTCTGTGAAGAGCCTGTGGAAAAGGACATAGGGACAAGGAGTGGCCCTGGGTGTTACTGACCAGCAACAGGAGGGAACTGAGAAAGCTGGAGGATGCTTTTTCCCTCAGCTCTAGTTTCCCTGCGTTACTGGGGTTTGCAGAGCAGTGGGCAGCTGCCAGATAGGGAAGAGGCCTTTACCCATTCTTGGTGTTTTCGAACCAAAACCTGTCGCTGTCACGCAGGCGCACAAACTGCTCCAGGATGATGGTGCTGAAGAGGGAGCCATCAGCCTCCAACATGCCTCCAGGGAGCAGCTCCAGCCCAGCCATGTCATTGGCATACAGGGCAGCGACCTTTTGCAGGACCTGGTGAGAAACGCCCACCACATAAGCGTGAGCACCAGGAATTCTGCCAGGGCACCAGAAAATCTTGGCAAGCTTCAGGAGAAGCAAGGAATGTGCATTTCCCAGGCATCACACATCTGTGGGCTGGGAAGGTGCTGAGCCCCACACAGCCTGGAGCTCACGGCTTGGACTTGAGTAACTAAACATCACTCCCAGGGCATCTCAGCTGTGGGAGGAGCATAGTGCCCAGTGGCACAGGAGCTTAGCACCAGGGCAGGATGATTTATTCATGCCATGTAATTACACAGTTATCCCAATGCAACAACTCTGCAGGCATGGAAGTCAAATAGGGCAGAATTCAGTTCCTGCCTGGAATGTCCCAACATTCTCTGACACATACATTCGGTGCCCAGGCCACTTCCCTGTTACCTGTGGCTCCAGGTGTGGTGCAAGGTTTGACCAGTTCTGGAGAGGTTTCAACCCAAATCGCTCCCGGGCTTGGTTATAGGTTGGCAGGCCAAGGTCTCGCCCTCGCTGGATCCAGCTGGCCACATAGTCAGTGCGGGAGTACTTCAGGGGCCCATACCAGTAATCTGTGTGTGGATTTGAAGCCATGGTGATGGCAAGGCTGAACCAGAGGAGCTATAGCTGCTGGGCTGGCCTCGTGCTGGCTTTGGGCTGTGCTGAACACAGATATCATCTCCATGCCCTTGCCGAAATGGTCCCATGGACACACTTAACACATCCTGTAGCTTCTCTGCACCTCCATTAACAAGGCTGAAGCTGAAACACTGGTTGGGTGCTGCTAGTGGTGACAATGGGACTTGCCTCCACACCTCGCCCCCTGCACAGCCCCAGGAGTGAGGGTCCCCCACTGATGAGCAGCTGCAGTACAGACCTTGGAGATCTTCCACGACAATGTTGTCCTCCCTCTCTGCAATCTGTGAGCTCATCCCCAGCAGGAAGTTGTCCACATCCTCTGCCTGCTGCAGCCCTGGCCTCTGAGGGGAGATGGGAAGAGCAGGTGATTCCTTAAATGACCAAGGATGAGAGGTAGCCCCACACACCCCACAGGGGTGCAGTTCCTGGATGTAGGGGGATCAGGGACTTCTTCCAGGCTCGTTTCCTCTACGTCAGTTCAACCTTGAGGTCTGAGCCTGACGCAGCTGAAGGAGGCATCTGGGATGCTGGATGGGGAGGATCTCACTCCCTGGGCTGACTGTCATGCTCTGCACCTAATTTCCTTTGTGGCATCCTCCATAAAATAGAGTCCCTTCCCAGCCAGCCTCCCACATCCTCAGGAATCCTGCACTCCCTTCCCTGTACCTCTCTGCTCCAGTAGCTGTTGCAGAGCCGCACTGCTGGGAATGAGCCACTGGGGCCAGACACGTTCTGGAACCGGCACTCGGTGTCTCTGGAAGATTAGAGAAGGGCTGGACCTACAGCCCTAGCCACAGCTGCCCAGAGCTGACAGGGCTTGCCTGTCCAAGCCAAGAGCAGGACACAGGGAAGGGGCACCATTGCCAGCTACCACCCCAGCTTGGGCATCCCCTTCCCTGACAGGGGCACTGCATTCCCACAGCCCTGCCAGGCTGCTCCTACCTCTTATAAATGCCCGGTGGCACCATGGTGGCCAGGAATTGTGCTGCAGCTGCCACGAACTCTGGCGAGAGGCTGGGGTCCAGGTGCTGCTGGTAACCTGGGAGGCAGCAGCCAGGCTGGAGGAAAAAGGGGCCAAGCTCCCTCTCCCACCTCATCCCCCACCTCCCCGGTCCTCCCACCCCTCCTTCCCTCCCTCTATTGCCTGTCGTACCCCTCACCTTTGTACTCTGGGATGTCTGACCCCAGCAGGGTCGGCAGCCACTCATACAGAACGATGCTCTAGGGAACAGAGGGGCTGGGTCAGGGCCAACACCAGGGAGGATGTTGGGGGTCCCAGCAGAGCTGTGGGGTCCCATCCCTCACCTGGAAAGTAGCAATGACCCTCTTGCGAGTGTGCTGGAAGAGATCCTCATCAGACCAGGTGGGGTGCTGCTGGGCTAGTGCTGTGGCCAGATGGTTGTGGTACCGAAACCAGGCGATGCTCTCAGCCTGCAGGAAGGGGTTCTCATTCCCCCAGGCACTTCCCAGGTCTGCAAGAGCCACCAGGACCTTCAATGGGGGATGTCACCACTGGGTCTAGCTTTGCCCATGGCTGAAGAAGTACTCCCAGCTCAGTGGCTGCAGCCCAGTGTCCCCTCATCTCCTCACCCTTCCTCCCTCCCCAGGGAGACCAGGAGCCTGAGCGAGTGAGCAGGACTGGCATCTCAGCATGGGTCAAAGGTTGGGCAGGTGAGGAACTCAAAGCAAGCTGAGCAGGTTTGTATCAGCGGCAGCCCCTTTCCCCAGATAAGATCTCCTGGGATCAGAGTGACCAGCACCTGCTGGTTTCTGAACCTGTTGCCTCCTGGGCATGTGGCATCTGGAGTTCAGGGAGTGTCCTTGCTGGGATGTCTTCACTGGGGCACACACCTTCCTCGCCCTTGGGCTGGCAAGCTGCCTGCTCTCCCACAGCCCTCCTGACCCACATGTCCTGCCCTGCTGTACCCCCCGCCCTTTCACTCCGGGCTCAGCTCCAGGGACCTCCTGCTCTCCCTGCTCACAGTCAGGAATGGACAAAGCAGGTGAAAAAACATTGGGAATGCCACCATTACCGTAGATGCCTTCGAGACCACCCTGTCCCGTGGATGGATCGATCGCCTTCCACATGGGGACCCTCCCGTCTGTCTGCCTCGGGAGGCGTCTGACAGGCCCCGACGCCAACTGTCCCCCGGAGAAGCTCCTCAGGGCGTCGCTCCAGGAATGCGAGGGGCCGTAGATGGAGCTGCCGTCCAGCCAGCCCGTCACCCCGTTGGTCTAGGGCAGGCACAGGGAACAGGCGTTAACCGGCGCCGGGGTTTCGGCAGAAAGGTGCAAAAAAGAGGTGTGAAAAGCCCCAGCCTGGCTCTTTTGTTCTTGCAAAGCAGCCGCCCCATCCCCTGTTTTAACAAGAGCTCTCAGGATGCAAACACGACAATCTCTGTGCAAACTTCAGGAATTAGTGCAAGGTACCGGAAAAGAGAACGTCTGGGCTTTTCATAAGTACATTTTGGGGGTTTTTCTGCAGTTATTTTTGCTATACCAGAAGCAGACATCTGTGAATCCCTATGTGTGCTGGAAGGGGACTAAACCCATCTCTAGGGAAACTGGGAACAAAAGAAGTGTCTCCTCTATCCTCGCAGCAGGGAGTCCCGCTGTCCTGGCAGCATGTTGAGTATCTCCTCTGCCAAATGTTTGCATAAAAACATCCGTTTTATTCTGAAAATACGCTGGAGTTTTCATTTTTCTAGGGTTTTAAATGCTGCTAAAAACATGACTTGCTAAACTGGTCTCATCATGGTTTGTCACGTGAAAGGTTCAGGAGGGTATTTTGCTCCAGTGATTTTGGCTGGGAAGCTTTCCAGCATGAAAGAAATCTTAGGAACACAAACAGCACAGCAAAATTCAGAGAAATTGGGGGAAAACCTGGATTTTTTTCCAAAATTACTGAAATTCAGGGAAGCTTTACAACTTTATATACAGTGCCGGCTCAGCTTTGTGATACGTTATCAAAGATAAGAGTGTCTTAAAACGATCTTGCATGATTAACCAACCTAATTATGTTTTCCTTTCCCAAGAAAAGCTTTGACCTCAGGCAACCACCGGTGTCGCTCAGTGTGAATCTTGGACTTTGTGACTTTGGGTTCATTTCATTGGTTCAAACACTTGAGAGATGTATATTTTTAAGGAAATAGTGGTGCTCTCATTTGAGTTTTGCAAACTCCCTTGGCTGATGCAGCCCCCGATGTTGGGCAAAGGGCAAAGAAAACCACACTTACCTGTTCCCGGGGGCTGTTGGGGCTCTGCCCCGTCTCCACAGCCCAGCGGATGCGCTGGAAGGGCAGGACCACATCTCCAGTGCCAGCAGGGTCAAACACTGGGTCTCCGGGGGGGATGTAGATGTTGAGAAACTCAGCAGGGCAGCCGGGTTTCTCCGTCTCCAGGATGTCCAAGAGCACATGGAAACCTGACAGAGACACAAGCACAGTCAGCAGCTAGGACAGCTGCCACCAGCAGCTGGAGCAGGACATGAGGGTAGGCAGCTGAGCTGTAGGTGGGCTGAGGGGACCACCACGTGCAGCAAGAGTGTTCAAGGCCAGGTTGGACAGGGCTTGGAGCAACCTGGTTTAGTGGAACAAGATGACCTTTAAGGTCTCTTCCAACTCAAATCATTCTGGGATGCTGCGATTTTCCAGAGACAGGCGTCCCTGAGCTTGGAGACCCAAGACCCCACTGCTCTGACTTGCAGTTCAGGCCAGCAATCACTCCCAGCACAGCCTTATCACATCCATCAGATATTTTGCAAAGGGGTAACTCCACCACTAAAACAAAAGAGGAAGTTCTCAAACAATGAATATCAGTACTTGGGTCAACTGCCAGAGGCCATCAAAAAGCCACTGTCTCCTGGCTGGACACTACTTTGGGATGGCGGCACCCAAGGCTTTGTGCTCCTGGTGTAGGCCTGCTATGGAGGGGTGTGTGAGGAGCGCTCCAGGCTGTGACCTTGGGTGTGTGAGAAATCAACGTTTTTCTACGCAAACCAGCATTTTTCCAGCCGGTGCCAGGCCCCAGGTCTTACCAAAGAAGACAGCCAGCACGGTGGTGTTCCTGTGTGAGGGCAGCCCGGAGGGGCCTTGTGCCACTGCGGTGCTGAGCTGGCGAGCGTTGGGCACGCGGGGCTCCTGCAGTGCCTGGTACACGCCGTCGGCAAAGTTGGCCGGCAGGAGACGCCGCAGCTGGGCACCTGCAGCACCAAAACAACATGGAATGGGCCCAGGTGGTACCCAACAGGAGGCACAGCAAGAGGACACCTGCCAGAATCCCAGGAGAGAGGAAGAGGTCGGCACAGATACTCATAGTGGCCAAGAACATGCAAGCTTTGGTGCCCCCACCCAAAACTTCTTGCAACACTGGGGTCAGTACTCTTAAAACCAGGGAGATCTCCATCTCCCTCTCTTCCGGCTGTCCTTCTCTTGTCCATGTGCATGCCTGTTGCCTCCTGGAGGTCTGGGGTGGTGCTCCAGTGGGCAACTGGAGTGACGTTGAGCTGCCCCATGTTGATTATGCAACCCTACACAAGTGTGGGGTTTGCCGGCACCATAAGGAATAGGAGAGGGAACAGCCAGAGAAGCAGCAAGACAGATGAGAAGTTGAGAGAGAAACTTTGCACCCACTGCCAGTCCCAAAATTGAAAAGCCCAGAGGCGAGAGGTTGTTTCTCACTGAAGAATGAGTTAATTTTGAACGGCTCCTCACCAGTGTGGTGGGTTTCATTTGCTGGAGTTCCCCAGAACTGGGGAAATCCTGAATTCCTGCCTTAGTTTGGGGCTTAGTTCCCATAGTTTGGTTTCCAAAAGTTAAGGTCTGATCTGTCTGCTCTGGAAGAGGGAAATCTGCTCTGCCAGGGACCTGCTGGTTTTCTCTGTCAGGCTTTGGTGTAACCAGAGGACTGTTTTATAACATGTCATGTTATAAAGCCATTTGGACTCAAAGGAAGCTGTGCAATTGTGTTACCGTATCACCAGATCAGTAACTAATCTGGGCTGCAGTAAAGATAATTCAGAATCTTGAATATTTTAGATAAGATCCTGCTTGATCTGCCCTGGTCTCTGGCTCAGGGACATTTCCTAGAGTTGAGCCCCTGGGCTGGTTGTAGGCATGAGGAAGCAGTTCACCACTGCCAGAGGGAAATCTCTAATGCCTCACCCAGTACAGACCAATAGATGGTATCTGCCCTGTGCAGGGCAGAAAATTAGTAGGTCCAGGATGCCGGCCCATGAACTCTTCTGCCTCTACCCTTCTGTTGAATCCTGCTTAAACTCCATGCCCATTTTGGCTAAAGATGGCTTTCTGCAGCTCTGGGCTCCCTGACTATCACTGAAACACCTGCTGGGAAGAGTTGGATCCTCCCTGCCTTGGACATTTTGAGCAGCCTCACAAAGGCACAGCTTTTCCCTGGGACTGATCCAACCTGCAGATGGTGCCTGGGCAGCAGCTAAAAGTGGCAATGACAGGACATTTGAGACAAACTGTGCTGTCTGTCCCCTCCAGGCTGCTCTAACAGGGCTCTCAGGTGCATCAAGGGACCTCAGGGCCATGGGAAGTGGCATTGCCTGCTCACCTGCCTGGTTCAGGCTGAAGTCAGAAAGGGTTTCTTTTCTCAGCCATAAAGCAACCCAGATGCCAATGTGCCAGCTCCCCTCACCCCGTCCCACTGTCCCCTCCCCAAGCCTGGCACTCACCCACAGAGCCACGGCTGTGGTGCAGAAGGTTGTTGTACCAGCCATCATAGCGCTGGACCTCCCAGATGATGTTCTCCTGGGCTCCTGGAAGAGATTGGACACACTTGGTGAGCAGTGAAAAAGGAAGTGTGAAATGAGCAACTCCACTACAGAATCATATTTGTATCATGATATTTTCCCATATTCTTTCTGAGGCTTTCCATACAAGCAGTTTTTTAGACAAGTTTTGCACTTCTTTTGAGGGATAATATCTAAAATTGGAAATTCATGCTTGTGGTCCTGATGTCCACAATTCAATTTGTGGCCACCACAAGTCTACTCCCAAAAGATCGTCCTCTCCTCCTCTCTCAGTGGATCAGAAGTCTCTCCTTATTTCTGACTCCCACAATGTCTGTGTGAGTCAAGGAAAGACCTTGACAATGGAGTTATGCTAGTGTTTCAGGATCAGTTAGCTTTTATGTTAATTTTTTTTGCTTTTACTGTAGTACTATCAAGGAGGTGCCACTCCTATTTATATATCTAAACTGCAGTAGGGGAGTTTCCCAACCTGCATTTTACTCCATTTTTTCTTATCTCCTCACAAACTGCATCATAAAAACACAGATTACCAGAATGGTTTGGGTTGGGAGGGACCACAAACATCATCTAGATCCATTTGCCCTGACATGGACATGGACACCTTCCACTGGACCAGGTTACTCTGATATGAAACTCCCCTGAGGGGCATCAGCTATCCAGGATCTCCCTTTTGGTCCCCTTCCCTGAAACTGCACTTACTCCCCAAGGTCCACGTCCCCAGCAGAACCACAGTCAAACTCAACATCATCGCTGCACGTTGCATTGACCACTGGGTCGTTGGAAGGAGGGACCTGCAAAGGGAGAGGAGATGGAGGGAGCTGGAGCTGGGCTGCTCCCAGAAGCTGGGAACATGCACAGGTCAAAATCTCAGCTCCTTGTGATTTCTACTGCTTGGTAAAACTCCGCTGCCATCAGCAGCAGTATCTCCCATCTGTGGGAAGCTGGCAGGGGGCATGTGAGACCCCATCCCCTTGGGGAAGTTCTGTCAGGATGTGTCAGCTGGCCTGAGAAGACATTTGTGCTGAAGCAGGACCAATGGCCCTTGGAGTATCCCAGCTGTAGGCTCACATATCATCCACATTCAGCTGTGCCAGCTCTGTTACAGAAACACACTTTTTGTTACAAAAATAAGTACATTTCAGCTAGGAATTTCTCTGGTATTGACCCATCCAAGCAAAATCCAGCTGTAAACATGATGGAAGAGCCTCAGCTCACAGTCAGGCATCCCAAAGTGTGCGAGTACTGCATACAGGACCTCTTGATCCCCTCCGAGCTAACCCAACAGCACTCCCTCATGATCAGCCTTTCTCATGATGCTTTGCCATCTCTTTTTTCCACAAACCCCCTGGATCCAGAGCAGATTTCATCAGTGGGATCTGAACCTTTAAAACTCTGGCCAACAGCTGACAGAAGAGAGGGATTCCCAGCCCTGAACAGTGAAGTGAATTACAGTCACAAATGAAACAATGCTACTACCGCTGGCTTTCCATGCACGTGAATTCCAAATCTGAATTTAACTCCAAGACGGTTTTCCACTAAATATGGCTCTTTGTCTCTGTTCCAGCACTGTGGGTGTGTATCCAAAGACCACCATCATTTCAGAGGAGCTGTGCTGCCAAGAGATGCAGCAGTGCACAGGTTTCAGCTTTTCATTATTTTAATTAAAACCTAAAGAAAATAGACAGAGCAACAGCACTGCTGCAGAACTTAGTGTGGTCATACTGGCAGAGGAGAGCAGACCCAAGTCATTCCAGAAGCCTGGAGCCTGATCCCTATGGTCCTTGTTAGTCACAGCTAATTTCTATATCTCCCCAGTGCTGGTGGGACAGACTGGGGGGCTGCCACCTTCCCACACCAGCCAGCTGGGTTTCAGAACAGGCTCTATCTCCCCAGCGTTGGATCTCACCCAGAATATCCCAGCCTGCACACAGGAGCCAGCAGTTTCCCCAGCTTTCCCACATAGGGACACCCCTGGGACCAGCTGCCTCAGTGCCACCAGAGCACAGCAGGGACTCCATCCCCCGGTGGAACATAAGGGGTCCCCGGCTGTCCCCGCGGTGTCCTGTGCCCACGCAGGGACACGCACCGCCCCAAACCGCCGTGTCCCGTGCCCTGCTCCCTTGCCACAGGGACTTGCGTGGCTCCATCGCACCCTGCAGGTGAGGACACGCATGGCCCCATCCCGTCCCTCCTCACACAGCACCCAGAGCCCCCCGTCCTCGGGACATGGCTGTGTGGCCCGACCTCTTCTATACGACCCCATCCCAACATCTTCTCCCAGCAGGAGAAAAGGGGAGTAGCACTCGCCCCTGTATCCCCCACGAGTGACAACGCGCGTGGACAGAATCCCCCGCAGGCAGCAGCGCGCATGGCATCGGCTACCGGGTCCCTGCGCCGGGGCAGGGGGGACACGCGCGGTCCCGAACCCCCACTTCCACGCAAGTGGAAACACACGTGGCTCTGATGCCGAGGACCCACCCCACCCACGCAGGCAGGGACACGCACGGTCCCGGTCTCTCAGACCCCTCACCCCAAGTGGGAACACGCGCGACACTGAATCCCCAGCCTCTATGCAAGTGATAGCACACGTCTCCCATGCCCCAGTTACTCCAAGCAAGAGGGCACAC